AGATGGTGGCTTTGTCACCTAGACTCGGGCAGTTTAGCCTGCTGTGCTTCCCCATTGGCTTTTCCTGACCCAGACGGCACTCAGATCTCCAGAAATCAGTTCTGGGAGCAGAACCCAAGCCCACCCAGGATTGCTGGTGCAACCTTCAGCCACCTCCTCTGATGGAGGAGCTCCTTCCCTCCAGCATCCTCCGCGCAGGAGGCTGCCCCTTCCCAACGCTGCTCTGCACGGAGGGGTTGTGCGGGGGCTCTCCTCCGGGGAGGGCCTCCTGGCTTGGGGAGAAGGTGCCCGTGGTGTGTCAGAAGTGGAGAATGGGGAAGCGAGATGAGCATCGATGAGGCTGTGTGGTGCTGGTCTGTTCTGGGAAAGCCCTTGTGGGTCTCGGAGGGTGAGAACAGGGCAGCAGCCATGGAGGGGCAACCCTGGTGCTGCCGTCTCATCTTCGTGCTCCTGGGGGTCACAAAATGTCCTTCCTCCCACCCTTTAGCTTCTCCAGGGAGAGGTGGGCAAGCAGACTTTGTGTCTGGCTTAGTGAATGTGGTTAATGGTGTTTTTTAACCTCGTTTGGAGGAGGAGGAGGAAAAAAACACTCCATTTTCCCATCTCCAGCAGAGAAATCTTTTGTGCTGCTTTTTAAAGGGATCTTGATCAGCTGCTAAGGGATTGGCAGCAGTTACATCACTTCCAATGCGGCTACTGCAGGCACCTCACGGCTTCGTCCTGCAGCCACCCCGGGGGACCATTTGTGCTCCAAATCCCCCTCCGTGGGAGAAATCCCGCACCCCTTGCTAGGAGGGAGAGGCAGCTGAGTCGTTCGGGATGCGCTGTGAGCAGCAGAAGGGGGTCAGTAGATGGGCTTAGAAGCAGATGGGATGGAGCAAGGGGAGGCACCCCGGGGTTTCCTAAAGGCTGGTCCTGCCCCGTCCCGCTGAGCTGGAGGCACGCGGAGCGAGCATCCCTCTGGGGCTGGGATGGAGCCGAAGGCACCGCGGTGGCATCGCCTCGGGCCGGAGCCGCAGCCGTTGCCTGGCAGCTGCGGGTTTCCAGGGAAACCAGAGGTGCTAACTTGTTAATGAGCCCCGCGTCCCTGATTGCTGCTGCGAAATAATAATAATTAGCCGTAGGCCCGTGATTTAGGAATCCCTCAAACGGCACGAGCCTGCCGAGGGGAGCTCGCTAAGTGCCGAAGGACTTGGAAGAAATAGGGATGGGGATGGAGAAGGGGTGGAGAGCTTGGCAGAGATGCCATGTTTCACGCTGGAAACAGGTTTGAGAAGGGTTTGGGTTGGAATTGAGCTTAAATCCCACCCAGTCCCAAGCCCCCGCCACAGGCAGGACCCCTCCCACCAGCCCAGGCTGCCCCCAGCCCCATCCAGCCTGGCCTTGGGCACCTCCAGGCATGGGGCACCCACAGCTCCTCGGGAGGTTGATGGGCTCAGAGCTGCCTGTCCCTCAGGGTTGCTGCCTTAGCTCTGTGCTCAGGCATGTGTGGGTGCCTCTTCCAGCACCCCCACTGCCAGATTTGCCCCTTCCCACATCTTCACCTCTGCGCAGCCTGGCTCATGAGGCAAATCGCAGCACCTCCAGGTCCTCCACCAGCAGCCAGCCCTATCCTACTTCTGCTCTTCAGCTCCTTCATTTTGCAAGTTCTCCATTACTAGAAGCAGGTCTTGGTCTCCAAAATACCTTGGGAGATGAACAGCAGTGCATCTGAGGTCCTTTGCTGTGTGTCCCCTGCAGGCTGGGAAACACCACTGTGGCTGTTCTCCTGTTTTGTTTTGTTTTGTTTTCCTTTTCCTCTTCATCTTGGTCAAGTCTGCCCATATTTATTTTGAATGGAAACAGGAAAACAGCAGCAGAAAGAAGTGGGAAAGGGCTAGGAGAAGAGGAAAGTATGGAGTAGGAGGAAGCTAGGAGCTCCTGAACAGGACCATGAGTGGAGGGTAGAGATCTCCAGGACACAGCTACGAGCTTGGTGAGACGAGTAGACGCACCGGTTGGTGAGGTTTATGGTTGCTTCAGAAATGTGCTGGCCTTCCTGTTAACATCTCTGGTACAAGAGAAACCAGATCCATGCCCATCCCGTAACCACGTACCTCTGCCGGGGCTTTGTGCAAGAGAAGTAATTGAGGAAGTGGCCTCCCCCTTGTGACTGCTGGGCCAGCGCAGGGCCAAGCTCCCATGGTCCGTCCTGCCACGGGGACAGACCTAGGTCAGGGTGTGTTTGGGGTTTTCTTCCTTCTGGCTGACCAGAAGAGGATGGAAGAGGATGGAGAGGGCGTTTGCCCTTAGCCCGGCTCACAGCACCTATCTGTGCCAAGCTCCTGATGGCACCCTTCACAAAGCACGTGTGTCCATGGAGGTAGCAGCAGGGACGGAGTGCCGGTGGTTGCCCAGGCTGGGTGTTGGGCTCTCTGCCCGTCCTTCCATCCAGCTTGGCCCCTCCTGCCTGGCTGTCCCCATTCAGCTAAGCCTTGCGCCCATCTCCCTCATTACAGGCACTCCAGGGAGAGGTGGGATTAAAGGATTATGGTAATGTTCTTCGGGAACACTCAAGAAGATTAAGATGGCTTTAATAAACTGATAAGCGAGGGACACAGCTACACTTCTGAAACCCCAATTTAGGTCCCAGGTTAACCTTTTCCCCTGTGCTGGAGACAAGTCCCTGGTCACCGTGGTGGGGTGGCAGGAGACCTCTTACTTCGTGGTGCTCCCTGTCCGTGCCTCCTCCTTTCCAATCCCTTGGCATTTGCATTAGGGTTGGCCTACAAGAGGGCGACATATGAGCTCAGGACCCGGTTCCTTCTCAATCTTGGGTCTACCACCAAGGTTACAGCTGCCTAAGACCACGCTCTGTTGGACATCTCCCTCCAAAGGCTCCAGGAAGGGGAAGCAGCATGGGCCTGCCTGGCCATGCCTCCCTCCGCATCTCCCTGCTGGAGCTGGCTGTCAGAGCAGGCTCACTTGTGTCGCCTGTCTCTGCCACCAGCTCTAACTGGCCATGCTGGAGCAAACGGACATCTGTCCAGATGTTTGGGTGGCTGTTAGCAGAGGTGGGGAACCTCTTGTGCCTTCCCTGACTTCACCCCCCTGCGCTCCTGGTCACCTGTCAGAACTCGGTGTGTGGAAAGCCTCTTCCAAACAGGCTTCTCCCAGAGCAGTTGGGAGATCCAGGATCTTCTGGCTTTCCCAAGCCCCTCTAATTGTGTCTGACCCCCCCAAGGTTCACCCTGGCTCGTTATCTGTGGAGCAGATACCCTGTTATCTCGCAGACACTGTGCGATGTGTCCGATGCATCGGATCACTCCTTCCTCCCACTTCAGCCTCTCATTCTGATCCCTCTGCCCCAGCATTATCCCCAGCTTTTTGTCTGTCGCCTCCCTCCGCTCCCTTTTATTTCTTGGATGTAATTGGAAGAGCTGAGAAGAATTCGCAGCCTGCTGTCCTGATGGGGATGGGAAGCAGAAAGCGATTTGGGGAGTGGGGTGTGAAAGAAAGACGGAGGGGAAAAGCTGGCTAATTTGCATCCTTTCTGAGTGCCCTGGCTCTATAGCCAAGGTACAGCAGGGGGTCTTCTGGCAAGGCGGCAGCAACGTAATGAGGTGTGTCATATCCCAGCAGGAGCCAGCCTCTCTCCCCCTATCACCCCCTAATTAGAACTGTTTCAATTTTTAAGCCCCCCCTGGAGGAGTGCTGCAGGGAGGGGAGAGGCGAGGGGGGACCGCGAGCCGCCTGCCGTGGGGCCGGGGACAGCGGCACCGCCGTGCAACGGGGCTGCGAAGGGCTTTGTGCCAGGAGGGGCTGGCGCTGTCGCAGCATTTAGGGGATTTTTTTCCCCCTTAAGTTGAATAGATGTGCTAACAGCATGCGTGTGATGCGGGGACATCTACCCCCTGCTTTGGGGAGCTGCCCAGGGATGTGGCGGGGCTGCTAATGCCAGGGCTGTGGGCTAGAGACCTGTGGATGCTGAAGCCCCCATCCTCGTATTCTGCAGCCCCATGTCCTGTCCCTGCGAGCTGGCTGAGTCCTCCAGGTCTGGTGATGGGGAGCAGAGGTCCCTGTCATTTCACCCAGAGATATGGTGCAGTAGAAATGAGCATTGTGCTTGGTGTAAGGACCTTTTGTTTCCTTGGTGTAAAAGTTCTCATGAGGCTGAGGCATGCAGCACCTTTCCCTGTACACGTGGGACAGCACCAGGCACCGTGCAGCCTTGTTGCTGCAGCACCGTGCCCTCCCCAAGCGTCTCTGTGGCCTCCTTTGGGGCCTGCACCATGAGGGCTAACAGTGTGGGAGCTTCTACGAGCTGCTGGCTTACCTAGATCAGGGTGCCTCATAAGCCTTCTGCAGTTCATAGACCAAATCCTGGCCCTGCAGAAGTCAATGAAGGTCTTTACGCTGGCCTTTTCAGGCACGGTAGTCATAGTCCTAATTCAGATGCATTAAAGCTCCCATGCAACAGCTTGTGGGTTCGCTCTAAAACACCGTCTGGCAGGAACAAGAGGAGCCTGGTAATAGCCCTGCTTATTTTCTGAATGGCCGCCGCAGCATTAAAACCTAATGCCATTAAAACAGGCCTGCAATGACGTGTGCCATTAAAACCTAAGGACTGCCAAAAGGTGCCTGTGCGAGGAGCTGCTCTGCAGGTGCTGTGACCCGAGGGGCTCCCAAGTTGTGAGGTGCACTGGGAGGGTGAACAGGGAGCGGGCACGGGTGGCTTCTCCCAGCAGAAGACACCAAGGTCCCCTGAAGAGCCCTGAGCCTCAGGGAAAATCAGGGAAAAGGCTGCTCCCTGCCTGTTAAATCTGACATGGCTCCCAGAAGCTATTAGACAAATTCTTGGAGGAAAGCTCCACCGAGGGCTATTAAACCTAAAGTTATGCCTGGGAAGTGTGCCTGCACCCTTGTGCCCTCCTGAGGTCCTCCTCAAGGACTCAGCCCCAGGTGAGCACCTGGTTTTGCTGCCACCTGACCGCCGTTTTCCCCCTTCCCTCTCCCTCCAGGTTCAGCACAATGAGTCGGCACCCTGGGCACTAGCAGCGTGAAGAGCCTGGGACGGGAGCTGCCCCGCTCGCACCTCACCCCATCACTGCTTCCCCTGGGGGAGACGGGTGCCAGCCCCTCCCTGCCCTCGCGCCCCTTGCCCCCGCTCGCCGCAGAGGGGACGGGCCCGGTATGGCCGGGGACAGGCTCCCACGCAAAGTGATGGATCCGAAGAAGCTGGCCAGCCTCCTGAGGAACGGGGCGGAGGGCACCCTGGTCATCGACAGCCGCTCCTTCGTGGAGTACAACTCCTGGCACGTCCTCAGCTCCGTCAACATCTGCTGCTCCAAGCTGGTCAAGAGGCGGCTCCAGCAGGACAAGGTCTCCATCACGGAGCTCATCCAGCCCGCCTCCAAGATGAAGGTACGGGGTCTGGCCCTCGCCTGTCCTTGTGGAAACCTCTCCCCCAGGAGAAAGATGCAGGGTGGGGGGATGCATTTCCATCCGGCCATGCCTGGCCCGTGTGACCCGCTCCTCCCTCCCTGCACCCTGTTACCTGCTGCCTTCCCTCTGGCACCCCGTCCACCCCACAGGGCTGTCCTCGGGGACCTGCTCGTTGCCCCCACCCCAGTGACACGGCACCCCCATCCTCAGGCCAGCATAACAGGTACGTCAGCCCCAGGGCTTGCCCTGCGCTGGCAAGCAGCCCCCCAAAGCCTTCCTGGAGCTGTAAGCTTAATCCCTTGCTAAAAACTCTTCCCCTCCCCTCTGTCATCTCTAACTCCATTCAGGGACATGTAATCCTCCTCCCTTGTGACGCCAGGAGCTCTTATCCGGTGTCATGGCATATTATCTCTCCCGGGCTCCTCTCTCTATCTCTCCTGGTTAAATAATAGAGGTGGCTCCGAGCCATGGCTGGCTGGCCGAAATAGTGCTGGGTGCCCCCGCGGTGGCTCGGGCAGGGTCCTGCCCTCCGTGGGTGACCAGGGGGAGGGTGGCCTGGCACCTCTCCCCTCCTGGCTCCCCAGGGACCCGTCACCCCATCCGCCACACGTCCCCAAAGTGCCACATCCCCTCCGCAGCACGCTTTTGGCAAGGGGACCCCCTGCCTCCCCCTGCCCCGCATTTTGGGGCACTGCACCCCTGCGGCAGCCTGCTCCTTTACCGATGTGCTCCTGCTTTTACCATTCCCCGGCATCCCCCCCCCTCACCCCGTCCCTGTAATTTTATGGCAAAACGAGGGTAATTCAGGCGATTAATCAAATGCTGGGCCCAGCTGGAGCCATCTGCGGCGTGTCCCCCCCCCGCCACCCCGCGAAGCCACCGCGGCCCGCATTGGCTGCCGGTGACATCACCCTGCCGGGATCAAGGAGCCGGGGAGGGGGGGCCCGGCCTCGCTCCAAGCTGCTCCAGCCATGGGGCTGGCCGCTTCGGAGGGGATTGCAGGGAGCGATTCCCCAGCGGCCTGAGCCCTTCGTCAATCCCCCGGGCGAATAAAGCAAAGAATAATCAGTTTTGGCGAGCCGGGAGCCGGTGCGGCGCAGCCGCCCTCCTCCCGGCCAGGGTCACCTCTGCAGTGGCCGCCGTCACGTGGAGCAGCAGCAGCAGCAGCAGCAGCAGCAATGCGACTTTGGGGTGAGGGGAGAAAGAGGAGGATGGGGAGCACCAAGAGTTAACGTCAGCTGATGCAGGCCCGCCTGCAGCGCTGCAGCTCGCAGCCGCAGAGATGCCGCAGCGGGCGGCAGCAGCTCCCAAAGGATGCTCCTGCGCCGGCACAGGTGGCTCCCACCCCGGCTCTGCCCTGCTAAGGGTTGTCCCCAACCTTCACGGTCACCTGGGGGCTGCCGGTGTCCCCGTGCAAAGAGCAGCCGCCTCCTCCCAGTCCTGCATCATTACGCAGCTCTCTGGGTACCACGCGGGGATGCTACACGAACCCCGTGGCAAGGGTGTTTTGGGGATGCTCAGCCCAGCAATTAATTAAGCTTCAGGGTGTTCTTATGAGGTTAAGCCAATTGCCCCGGGCAGCTGGGGGGAGAAGGAGGGGGATCATGGCCGTATGCTCAGCTGGCACAAAGTGGGGTGCTGGCTGTGGTTTGGGGTGTTCAAGCCTTTTGTGCCACTGTCCCCATGTGGAGGGTGGCAGGAGGCTGAGCGGTGGCAGTGGGAAGATGGAGACATGGGCATGTCCCCTGGGGCAAGAAGGCAGGTCAGGATCTGGGGAAAAACGTTCTGCTTTGGGCAATGTGGAGAGGGGGAGCCTTTATTTTCAGGGCTCGCCGGTGCACCTGCCGAAGGGTGATCAGCAAAGCGGTGGGGACGGGGGGGAACAGGGGCACGGCTGGTGCTGGGAGCAGATGGCAGGAAGGGTGACATCAGTGGCGCGATTGTCCGGCCCCATTATTCCTCCTGACGGGCCTCCCGCCCTCCTCCCGCTTCCTGCTCCCGGCCGGGGCTGCTGAGACAAAGGCGGCCGGGAGCACCGCGGAGCTGCCCAGAAGGAAGGGGCACTGCTGGCAGCCCACCTCGATGCACTCCCCTGTCGTTTGCACAGCCCAAAAAACCCCAGACCTGCACATCCCAGACCCCACCAGGCACTGGTCATGTTTTGCCCATTGCCTGGCAGGGCAGAGGGCAATGCAGGGCAGTTTTCCGTCCCAATGTGAAGGGAGGGCACCACTGGCAACCCTCCTGGGTGTGCTGCTTTGGGGCAGTGCTGCGGGATAACAGCAAGTCTTGGGCAAGGACCATTTGCTGGGAAAGAAGAAATAGGGAAAAAAATATATCACCCTTTCTTCTTTTGTCACAATCTGCCTTTCATCTGCCCTGGAAATGTGGGCACAGCTAAGCCACCTCTCCCCGAATCCTCTTGTGCACTGCTTCCCTGCTGGGCACAGAGATGCTGAACTCCATCTCTGCCCATGGACTGGGCTAGGGAACTGCAGCAGTAATGCATTTTCCAAAGGACTACTTTTATTTTATTCCCAGGAATTCCAATTATTACAGCAATAGTCACCCTCAGCACAAAAATGTGCTGTGCTACCTGCTCCATTTTTGTTTTTAAACCTTTCTCCCGCTATCGGCTGGAATAATTCAGTTCCTCGGTGCCGTTTCAGGGGAAGAGGTTGTGGGAAATTCCTGCTTGGGGGTTTATTTTGATTTCTGGAGGGAAATGCTGAGAAGCTCACTTTTTTAAGATCTCCTTGGAAAGTCTTCCCACATCTTGACCTGTTCTCACTTCCTGAAATGCAGCTGTCTCTGGGAATGGCTACAGCAGCGGCTAGAGGCATGACAACGGTCCACCAGGGCTGTGGGGACATTTATTTATTTACTGGAGGAGCCTGGCCCTGGAAGCAGCTGCCTTGCTCAAGGGAAAGCCGGGGCTTAGTCCTGAGCCATGTGCCCGGCTGCTCTGTATGTTTATGGAAGCCGTGTTATTTCAGTGGGGTGATTCACCGTGTTTTGAAACAAAATGGGGCTGTGATGTCCGGAGTAATTGGAATAATAAGAATACGTCACTCTTATCTTAGCCCAGATCACCTGGAGGGCTCAGAGCACTTTGCACAAGTGGCAGCATCCCTGCTTAGCAGCCAGGGAGCATGGAGCAGGCAGAGGCAGCACCAGGGTGTATCAAACCACCCGGTGCCCAAGACAAAATGTCCATAGGGAGATACCTCCAGGGGTGGTGATGAGCTCCCCAGCGATGTCCTGTGGGCTCCCCAAGGATGCTCCTGCAAGGCTTGGGGGCAGAGGCATGGGTGACTTGGTGGGACCATAGCACCTGAAGCAGAATCCTCTAGGTTGGAAAAGACCTTCAAGATCATCAAGTCCAAAGTAGCACCATCAAGGCCAGCTATGCCTCATGGCAAGCTGTGTGATCTTTCCAGATGCTGCATCCCACCAGCAGCCTTTCAGCATCCTTCCTTTCTTGTGCGCTCGGGCAGCAGAGGAGGAAAATGCTTGGGGATTGGACTTGATGATTGGACTTGGTGATGGTTGGACTTGATGATGTTGGTTGGACTTTATGATGATGTTTGGACTTGATGATGGTTGGACTTGATGTTGGTTGGACTTCATTATGATGGTTGGACTTCACATTGGTTGAACTTGATGACTGGATGATCTTGAAGGTCTTTTCCAACCGAGGTGATTCTAGGGTTGGATGAAATCCCTGCTGTCCCTGCTCCATCTGACCCATGGGAATGCCAGCACCACCACGTGTGACGTGCCACTAGAAAAAATGAACCCTTCTCAAGCAAAGTGTATTTCTTCAAGCCAATCTCTCCCCTCAGCCCGTTTCCGCAGCCCTTGCCCCACCAAGCAGGATATTTATTTTCTGCAGCCGGGCCACGCAAGGCCAGTGCTTGTTTGGCATTTACATCGAGTGAAACCTTATAACTTTAATAAGATGTAAACCGTGTCACACATATCTGCCGTTGCTCAGCAACCCTGCAGTAATGGCCAAAACAAAGCCTCCCCGTGTAGAGGGAACACTAAATCCTATTGTGGGATAATTCTGCTCGGCCAGAGCTGTTATCTCCCCTGCTTGCCCCTCTGGCTGGGGTGCGAGCCCCTGCTCAGCCCCTTCCTTGCCTCACTTCTGGGGAGATGCTTCAGGCTGGGTTTTCAGGACATTGTGCTGTGCTGGATGGCAGGAGCAGAGGTTTCCTTCGGATGAGATGTTCCTAAGGGTATGTCCTTGTCTGGTTCACCCCCAGGTGGCTTCCCTGGGTCACCTCTGCTGCTCATGAGGAGTTTCACCCACGCTAAGCTACCCTTATAGAAACAGCATGGCTTATTATTAATAATGTAAAGAATATCGATGACGCTTAGAGAAACGGCCGCTGATTTTACCCAGGGCACCTTAGGCAATTTAAAATTTATTTTAAAATTTTATTTTAAAATTCCCCCATCCTTTCCTCCTCCCTCTCCTCCTGCCGTTTCATTTTCTTCCCTCCCTTCATCCCGCTGACCTGCATGGCCAAGCTCGCTTCCCAGTGCCCCGTGAAGGCAGCGGTGACTTCCGAGGGCACGAGGCTGTCCTCAGCCCTGCGGTGAGTGGCCGCAATGAGCTCAGCTAAATCCGTGCATGCTGCGGTTTTATTGGGATGTAGCTCACATTTCATGGCAGGGAAGCACCTGCAGCAGGGTGTCAAAACAGCCCAGCTGCTGCCTCGCTGTGCCTTGGGCTGGATCTGCCTTGGGAAGATGTCTGCACATCTCTGGGTGCTGCGGAAACCTTCTCAAGGGATGGGGGGATTGATTCCGAGCGTTGCGTTTGTGGTTGCTTTAATATCTATAGTAACCCACGGGTGGTGAGATAGGGCATGCAAGTGATGGAGCAAAAGGAGGAGAGTGCTTATGAGTACTGCTGAGTTTGAGGAGTCCCATAACGAGGTTTCAGTCCCTGCTGATCAGGTATGCATGGGAAGGGTTGCGCTGATCACCACGATGGGAGGCAGCATCTCCAGCCCTCACATTTCAATGGGAGCACAGCATGTGGCAGTGCACTGCACCAGAAGGACTCCCCGTGCCCGCAGGGCTGGGCATTATCCAGCTGCTGGATCCCCCTGGCTTTCCAGCCGCTGCCCACCCCTCCCGCAGCGTGATGGACGTGTTTGCCATCCGTCAGGCTGCTCAGCGGGTGTGCCGAGCTCTGCCTCCCCAGGGTGGGGGCATGCGGTCCTGCTGGTTAAATAATGGAAAAGCAATGGTGAGTGCTGTGGGGCAGCAGTATTTTAGGTAGGGCACTCCAATTTGCTCACTGTTGGCATGGCTGCTGCAACTGGCGTTGGTGCTGAACTACCCATTTGTACCCACGGGGCAGTCTCAGCCATGTGGTACCCCAACCACTGGGGCTGTCCTCTGGCTGTGGTCAATGGAAATGCTCCATGGGCAGAAGCAAGTCCTCAGTTTCTCCAGCGCCCGTTTTTTTTGCCGTTCCCTGCAGGTGGAGGCAGAGGAGCACCAGGACGTGGTGGTCTATGACCAGAGCACGCGGGACGTGACCGGCTTGGCTGCCGACAGCTTCCTCTCCATCCTCCTGGGCAAGCTGGACAGCTGTTTCCACAGCGTCTCCATCCTCACAGGTAGGAGCAGAGCGGCTCAAGGGCAGGTCATGGTGACGATGATGGTGGTGGTGATGGTGGTGATGATTATGGTGTGATGGTGGTGCTGCTGGCACCAGCAGCGTTGTAGGGTGGTGGGCCCCATGGTGCATCCAGACTACATGTATTTCCCACAGCTGTCTGGGTCTCTGGGTTACCATTTACCGTTTCACTTGGTGCTTGTGCAATTATTCTGGATTTATGGTGTTGTGGCCATGCAGCATGTGTGATGAGCACATCACCTTGAAGGGAAAGTGAAAGCTGCTTTTAATTCCCAGCAGCTGGGCCAGCTGCTTGGCTGACTGTCCACCTCCCAGCTTCAAACTGGAGTTGTAATGGGGAGAGCAGAGAAATAATGGGAATAAAGCACCCAGGTCTGACAGGGTGAGGGTTTCAAAAGCAAGCAAGGGCTATGTGAAGTCATTATAAAGAGAACTAGCGTGGAGCTCTGCTGAGGCCACTGCTTGGGGAAGATGCTGTGAGCTTGCCCAAGGTCTTTGTGGCATAACCAAGGGCACAGCTTGGTGCACGATGCCGAAAAGGTGAAGGTAGATTGGGTCACTGGGACGGGTCAGAAAGCTGCCATTGCAGCGGACCTGAAAAGAACCCACACTCTGGTGTCTTGTTAGGATGGTGTCACCGTCACTGCCACCAGCGCCCAGCCCATGCAAGCAAACAAGCATCCTCATTTTTTGGCTACCATCTCCATCCTCCCCAGCTGCTGCACCAAAGAGCCCCAGGCAGGAGCATGTCTGCCTACACGAGGTGCTAGGTGATGTTTTAAAGCCCCCAATTAAAACCTGTTAACAGGTTTCTCAGCCCTTCCCTTCCACCCTGCCTTTCCCCTGCAGAAGTCCTCAAAGAGCCGCGTTCCCGGCTGGTAATTGCTGAGGTTTTGGCAAAGCCTCCCCTGCTCCTTGTGCCGCGGCATCGCGAGCCGCGCGGCCCGGAGCCTGCTAATGGGGAACGCAGGCTGCTAATGCGTGGAGAGAAAAAAAAAAAAAGGAACTGAAATGTAGCACACTGGGTCATGGCTGCTGAGTTTTATATGGAAATCATGACTCAAAAACACTGCTGAAAGCATCCAGAGGGAGGCTGGGCGCGCTTTCTGACACACGCAGTTTCCTCCTTCCTGTAATGTGGGCAGCAGCCGGGTTATTTTTGACCTGGGTTTGCGGCGCTTGGGAGGTCTGAGGAGAGGATGTGTACACGGGGCTGGATCCCGACCCCTTGCCAGGACCCTCCCTGCCTCGTGAGCACGGTGCGCCAGCCTGGGAGGGTTTGCGAGGACACCAGCACCCCACCAGGGCATCAGGTCCAAACTCAACCTGACCCATCCTGGCCCACGCACCTCATCCTGCCCAAGGTTGCTCCCAGTGCCGCCCTTTCTGCCCCGTTCCCTCCATGGCATCAGGTGTGATGTACGTGCACATGGAAGAACCCAGAAACCTCTTCATTGCTTTAGGTCCAATGCAAGCGGACTATGTATTTATGTGCTAACGAGCTGATCTCTGTCCCTCACTTCATGCTGTGGTTTTAGACCATTGGTGCAAATTTTGATGCTAAAAATCAACCTTAAGTTTGGTTTCACTCCTTTTCCGCATACAGATATTAGATCTGCTACCTACGAGCCTTCATTAACCCACAGAGGGGGTTCCCACTGCTAAAAGCTGCTGGGAACTGACTCCTGAGCATCCCCAGACCAGTGTGCCCACCCCAATCAGTCTCAAAACCGAGCCATTCAGGTCCCCATCTCACATCATCCCCAGCAGGGTCAGGACCTAGGAGTCCCAACAAGCCTGCTTTCAGCGCATCATTTTTTGTTTTCCATGCCTCAGTGTCCCCAAACTTCATGCTTGGCCCTTCTTGCTCGTTGCCACGTCATTTTTCAGATGAACCTGCCTCAGAGCAGCTGGTGGAGGCTGGAGGCTGGAGCCCGGGTTGCTGGTGGTGGCAGGAGCGAGGGCAGGGGCTCCTCAAGGGTTAACAACCCCAGAGCAGCAATTCCAGCGGGGCTCGGAAGGAGGAATCTGAGTCAATTATTCCCAGTCTTGCAAATCATCATCATCTCTCCCCCCCCTTACATTTTTTTTTTTAATTGTGTAAGTATAAATAGTGCTGCTTGCTGCCCTCCATCCGTGGGAGCAGAAAGCCTGTTGATTTATATGGTTTTCCTGACATCACATGAAGTGGTGGAAAACTGAATGGAGCCAACATTTTTCCTGCATTACGTAATGCCCCCTCCCTCCCTCCAGCCCAGCTTTGCTATTCCTTCAGGAGCCTGACTGTTCTTTAACCTTTGTTTATTTCAGCACAAACCCTTGCTTTTTTTTTTTTTTTGCTTTTTTTTTTTTTGCTTTGCTTTTTTTTTTTTTTTTTCCCTTTGCGAGCTCCCGCTTTGTTTTTATTAACAGCCATTATCTGTTTATGAAGCGGCAGCAGTCTGGCTCCATCGGCCACTGATGGCTCCAGCGATGCCAGCTCTTGTGCTGGAGCCCGGCCAGAGCCGCGGCGCGGTGCTGAGCTGCCGGGTGCTGAGCATCCCCGGCTCCTCGCTGAATGGCAGCGAGCGGAGCCAAATCTCCCCGGCCTCCTCCGCAGCCGAGCGAAGCGGTGGGCGAGGGATGCTCCTCGGGATGATGCTGGGACCAAGCAGGACTCTGGGGATGGCGGTGCTTTTTGCTGCGCCGCTTAGCTGTGTGTGGCCACTGGTCCCAGTACGGAGCAAGGAGGAAACCGGTGGGGAGCCCTCGGAGGCTCACCTGGAGGGTGGGGGCAGTGCTGGTCCCACCGCACGGCGCAGGCTCTCTTCGGTCCAGGTTTATCCGTGCTTTATCCGTGCAGTGTCGCGCACCGACCTGAAACAGGCCCCTCGCTTGCTTTCCGAGCTCCAGTCATGAGCTTTTCATCTGGCTCGGGAGCGCGTGTGAGATCATCTTCAGCCCCCCGCCCCCCTCGCCGTTTGTACCAATTCTTCAAGGAATGTTTAAATTTTCCAGCCCTGTTCTTTCTAAATTTGGAGCGGCTGTTTACTCCCAGGATTCGGAAAGAATGTAACAATATCATCAGTGAGAAATCCCTCCCAGCCCTCCCCTCTCCATCCTCCTCCCGCCAGGCTCCTTGGCCATGCTGGCCCTGGCCCAGGTCTTCTCCAGCCCTGCGGTGCCGTGGCCAGGAACAGCGATGGCGTTTGGTTTCAACCTGTTGGTCTTCCCTGCTGGAGGAGGTCTCTTGAGGAACCTCTCCAGTGGAGCTAAAAGCTGTCAATGGGTGTCCAGTTTTTGCCCAAGGTTGGGGAGATGGCTCAACTGGGAGAAGCAGCTGGAAATTGGAAATTTTGGTGTCAGGGAGACAGTGGAGTTGGGAGCACGATGGGATGAGTTATATTGGAAACTCCATCTGCCTTTTGGTGAGGTCCCTCCTCTTCCTATGGGGTAAGCCCTGCCCTCCCCAGGGAGCTGGGGAGCAGAGAGGAGAGAAGGCTCATTCCCATCATCATCATCATCATCATCATCATCAAGACTGAAGGGCAACAGTGGCCACAGAGTTGTAACCATTCAGTGGGCTTGATCTGGAGGGGGGTGATCTCATTCACAAGCCTGGAGCAGTTATTTAGGAGACTTGAGAATCGGGGAATTTCAAGGGAATCTTCCAAAGCCAGGTGACTTCAGAGCAGATGAAAAAAGTAGTGAAAAAGAAAAGGGAATTTCCACTGCAAGAGTTGATCTGAGCTGTTCAGAACTGACTGGGCTCAGCGCTGGCTGGAATTACTCTAGGAACAAGGATGTGGGGGAAGATGATTAAAAAGAAAAGAAAAACACACTTTTTTTTCTTTTTTTTTTTCTTTTTTTTCTTTTTTCTGCGTAGGGACAGTCCTAAAAGGAGCTCAGAAAACATTGTCTAAAACCCAACGAAAAAAATACCCCAAACACCCATACTTTTGAGTTTAGCTCAGATGACAAAATGGGGCAGGAGCAGCTCCCTGCTGCGGGAAGTGCTTTGTTCCGTGCTAGCTGATGAATTTGGTCCTTGGGCTCCTGCAGAGCCTCTGCGGGGTACACAGGCCTGAGGATGCTCATGGAGGTGAAGTGGGAAGCTGTCTGTAACTGCCCAGATATTCAGAGGGATGCATGGAGAGTGTGGTCCGTGGGGGACCGTGGTGGCCAGGGCAGGACAGGGATGCTGCGGTGCTGGCTGCCTTTGGGATGCTGCTGCACTGCACTCTCGCCCTCCAGCCCCATCCCGGTGGGTACCGGTGTCCAGCCCTGGCCACCCAGCCCAGATGTGGCCCTGCATCCCTGCAGAGGGGCGAGGTGGCCTCTTCCCACCCCTCCACCATGGCTGGGAGATGCCTGCAAGGGTTTTGGCCCCAGAGGGACCAGCAGCTGCATCCCTGGGAGGGGTTAAGCTAGGTCACGTATGTGTGAGCTGATTGTATTCCAGACCTATGCTCTAAACCTCCCTGTTTAGCAACGCTGTCGTCAGACAACTTGTTTTCCCGATTCTATAATTACCCCGTGGAGCTTCCCTTCCCCCTCCCCGGCCGCGTTTTTAACAATCGGACCCAGAAAAGGCGAGCAAAATGGCACACGGGGATGGGGCAAAGGGAGGAGATGAGGGCCGTGGAAGAGCAGCCTGCCCGTTGCCAAGGCTTCAAAAGTCATCGTGTAATTTCATTTCCCATTTCTGGAAAGCAGGAGGGAGGGAGGAAGGAAACTTCCCCAGGAGGAGATCGCGATGGGCAGGAACCCATGCCCAGTTATGATTTCCTTCCTTTGGAGAAACCTGCCTCCCCTTTTCCTGAGGCCCTGGCCTCCCACGTGTGAAGGCTGGCGACCGCGATTCTGGCAAGGTCCTGGTGCGGGGTGGGGAGAGGAAACGCTGGCCACTGCCCAGGAGACCATAGGCAGGAGGGAACGGGGAGGAGCGCGCTGTCTGGGGAAAGGTGGCTGCAGGTAGCATCTCCACGTGGTTGACCACCT